AACAGACGGAAAGCAATAAGGTCTTCCGAAGGAAGTCGGAAGACCTTAATAATAATAATAATAATAAAAAGAAACAATACAATCACTATAAGTCTTCCGTTGTGAACGGAAGACTTAATAATAATAATAATAAGAAACAGAGTAAAAACAATATGTTCCCAAACTTCGTTTGGGGAACATAATTAATGACAAACAAGTTGATGAAACAAGAATATCAACAGTCTCGTTTAGATTCATCATTTTGTAAGTTCTATGGTCGATACATGTACAATGACCTTGTCAGCAAATACAATTTATCATTGAGTCAAATGCTGACTGATGTTTTTCATACTAATTGCTTGGCCATTATTTACACACTGAATTGTCGACGGATTTTTCCGTTATTCCCGATCATGACAAGCACACGGTGGGTGTGGCCGGGCGGCAGGGTATGCTCACTCCTCCATGGCACCTGATCCCACCTCAGATGTTTTAGAGGTCCGTGTTTGCTCTGCTCCTATTTTGTAATGTTTAATGGACTTTTGAGCTTGAATACTGTTCGTTATCTCAAAATATTTCATTTAATGTGATACAACATAGTGAAATAGTAGGGGCTGGCTTTAGACTGTGCCTGTCAGTGTACCAACCATCAGAAAATATAGCCAAGGTTAAAGTTTTTCAAAAAGTAGGTCATACTCCAAGGTCAATGTCATGAGGTCAAAAAATAATGGTACCTTTAAGGAAAGGTCTTGTCACATTCATGCATAAGTGAAATATGAAAGCCCAAGCACTTACCATTCAAAAGTAATGACAAGGTCAAAGCTTTTGTAGACATACAGATTAACAGACAAATCAAAAATTATATGCCCGAATCGAGCATAAAATAACACTGGTTCATTTTAAATTTTCGCGCCATTGGCATTGCCGCCATTGAACATTTTACGACAACAGTTTTCTTTCACGATTCATTAACAGCGTTAAACGATGATAATTTGAACCACCATTATCATGTATTTGAAATTGTGGTACTTTGAATATTTGAATATTAGCATAATTCTTTTCCTCGATGTTTCTTTGTCGTATTACGACACTTGAAGTGTCAAAAGAGCGGAAGTGGGATGAGAAGAAAGTGATAACAAAACTGAAAACATCAGAACATGTGAAAAAAGAAACTTCTTTTGATTTATTTACTGACAACGTTGTGGATAAAAACACTAGTGGTAATTACTTGCTTTTGACGCCTTATTCACCTTAATGTATGTTACAATATTGCATATAGACAAATAATGCAAATACTTTTACCAACTTTCTGACAACATACAAACATATATGAGGTATAATATATTGAATTTTACATTGTGTACAGTAACAGGCGCCTATTATAACTAAGTTAAATTTTATAAAGGTCCCTGTTACTTGTAATCTCACTGTCTTCTAACCTTAGTTTGTACTAAGTTTATTGTGGGTGGGTGAATGGGTTTCAGCTTTGCAATGTCACAATGCAGGTGAATATTAGCACCCAAAATTTCCCCAAAATATAATAACACGCAAAACAACAAGTTCCTGTAGTGAGACCTTTACCATATTTTACAAAATAATGTAATCTTAAGTGTAATATATGTTCACAGTGCGACCATTGGGGCAAGCACAGTTGTACATAAATTCATTTAATATTATATACTAAGATCCACCTCTTCAAACCGCACTAGACGTTTGGAATGTCTAGAGTGTGATGTCACATGATGTTGTATGTTAGCTGCATTTCCATAAACGAAGTTTGAAAAATGCAAAATTTTAACAAAGAACGTTAATTTAATCTACTATCTGTATGCAACATCCGTTAAATCAAGAAGGTTTATTTTTTTGAATTTTTAGTGTTGTTACAGTGAGAACGAAGTGAGCAGCGAGATGCACTCATGTTGCATTGTGGGTCTCCAGGTAACTGCGGAAAAAATTTATTTGGATCAATGTGCAATGTCCGAATTTTCTCTTCACCCAGTCGTTAGAGCTTGCTGTGCTCGCTATTTACACAACATGCACAAGTGTGCAGCTAAAAGGAGGACAGAATAGGTCTTGTACCCTTCTATTTCACATTAACGGAGTGCTCAGAGAAAAGGTCTATTGTTAAAAATGACATTGTCCTACATACCCAGTTTAATGACAGAACTCATTCCATCTGTTGGAAATGTAGCAAAATAAACAGAAGGAAATGATTCAAATCAATATGTTACATTATTTGAATTATTCAGAGAGATCCGAATGTTAACATGGCAGATGAATTTGAAATGAGAGAAATTTTTTGAGAAAATGTGTTGAATTTTCCTTCACTTGAAATAAATTTGAGGTGGAAGGTACATTCAAGCTCAGAAAGGTTTGTTATGATGAATTTGTTCTTCAAAATCGTGACTATTTTCTTACTTGGAGCTGTAAACGTATGCAGCACGTAAACAGAAATCAGGAACACCTACTACTACAGTGTAGTTACTCCTCTAATTCTGAAAGCAAATCAAAGTCCAAGCAATTACAAATTATGCCTTATATGTCGTCTTCTTGTCTGCACATTACATGTATGTTTTATATTACAAGTTTGTTTTTTCCCTCGTCTCTAAAACTACTGAGACAATATTATGAGTTGATAAGTGTATTTAATAAATTATCCCCTCGCAACAGAGTTGGAGGGGATATAGTAACGTGCTTGTGTGTGTGAGTTAGTTAGTTTGTCCTTGTGCGAAACGGAAGTGATGTAATTTGCATCAGGATCGATTTCGAATACTGCCTTGATTTATAGATAATTATGCTTTTTGCGAGGGGATGTTCCACTTTGTGATGCCCTTGTTAAATTTAAAATGAAATGAAATTTATTTATTTTTATCAAATAAATTTCATTATTATTACATGGATGGGGAATGGTCAGAGGAAAACCAATAGTTTTTTTGGTCACTTTGTCAAAGTCAAGGTCAAATCTAAAGATGATTTATATTATGATGCAATGCCATAGACATTTTGTAACTTGCAAACTTAATGTGTAGTTTATAGATGGAGAATTGTCAGGGAAATCTAAAATCATTTTGATGCATTAACTTTGATAATGATATTTTGTAATCTGCATACTTCATGTGATGTAGGTGAAAAATGATTCCAGGGCTCGACATTAATGCTTGTCCGCTTGTCCAGTACCAGTGAAAAAAATTACGGACAAGTGAATATTGCTGGGCACTTGTCCGATTGGACAAGTGCATTTTAATGTAAAGAAGTCTTCAAATAATAAAAAGAACGACTGTTGAAAGTTCATCGGCAAAGACGGAAGCAGTACATAAAATACGAACTTCGATCCCGATATGGATAGCTATGTAATTAAATTCACAGTCGATCGGGATCGAAGTTCACTAATTGCAGACTACTGCAAAGGCATGAAAGTTACGTCGAGTTATGAAGTTTAGATTCTGTTTAATGTTAACAGTTTCATTAAACATTTATGTTGTCAGGATAGAAAGTCTAGATAAAATTTTGTTTTTATGTGTTTCTTGTATTTATCACCGTTCACGGTAGCTCAGTCGGTAGAGCGCTCGCTTCATGATCGGGATGTCGTGAGTTCAAATCTCGGCCGCGACAGACCTAAGTCGATAAAAAATAGGTAGCAACTGTTCCTTCGCCATGCGCTCAACACTTTGAAGTGAAAGTTGCGGGTCTTTCGGATGAGACCTTAAAAACCGTGGCCCCGTGTCACGGCAGGCGTTGGCACGATAAAGATCCCTCACTGCTCAATGGCCCTGAGTGCCGAGTAAAGGTAAAAATTTGAAGCCCTTCACCGGTATATGGTGACGTCTCTATATGAGTGAAAAATTCTCGATTGGGACGTAAAACAATATACAATCAATCAATCTTGTATTTATCAATAACATTACGAATCAATCACATGTAATGAACTTTATTTTAGTTTTCAAGTTGACAGCATTGTATCTTTATTGAACAATTTTCGGACAAGTGAAGTTGTAGTTCGGACAAGTAAATGTCTTGGTCACTTGTCCGAATGGACAAGTAGGGAAAAAAGTTAATGTCGAGTCCTGGATTCTAAAGGAAGGAATATATGGCTTTTAGGGTCCATTTATTAGAGGTCAAGGTCAAATATTGAGATTATTATTATCTGTGCATCATCATGCATTGAAAATTCATGTTTGTTCTCATTATGATGCTAGGGCTAGGTTGTAGGGCAAAGCCACAGTAAAGTTTCATTTGCAGACCTACAGTAGAACAACAAGGGTTTTCTCTGACAGTGTGGTCAGGCCCTTGGGCCCCTTAATTTTACACTAATATGAAAGAAAGACATGGCTGAATTGAATGAGCCATAATAATGGAATAATTTAGGAGTAAAATGACTGATTAGCATCCTTGCCATGGGCCCATATTGCTTAGTATGTTCAGAAATTTTAACTGCAACTAATCAATTTTTCACATAGGTTAATGTGTTTTCAGTAAATTCATTTTATTATCAATTATAAGTTGTAAAACATCTTCATGGCTATAGTCAATCGACCCATGTAATACTCCCTCTGGTAAGTTAAATTGAGATTGCATTTGTTTACTTTAAATTTGAGTATAATTCAAATGTAGAAGTTTATTACAGCATAAACAACATTCATTTTATTATCTTAATTGTGTAATTTATGAAGAGTCAGAAAATTAAATACTTATATCTTCCTGATCATGTTTCAATGTGAACTATGATTTATCTAGTGCTTATAATAGAGTGTGGTAATTCAAATACACGATATATCCTGCTTTGTTTACTGGGTTATATAAAAAAAGACAATAACACACACACCATGCACACATGTCACACACTTTAATTCAAAGATGGACTTCAAACTGTGAAAGGTTGCATTTCAATATTGTTTAAAAAAAAATGCTGTACTCTTTCAGTAAAATATATGTTTTTGTATATATATAAATTATAATTATATACATATATTATATAATTCTTGTAAAAAAAAAATTATAGGACACTGTGTTTACAGCTTACCAGAATGCAGTTTAATCCACCCCCTGGGCAGAATAACATTGGGTACCCCCAGCAGGTCCCAGCCAGGCAGGGAGGAGGCATTGGGGCCCCTCATCAATCAAATCATCAGAGGTAATCTACAATTAAATAAACACAAAAATGTATTCTTTCCTCCCAGAGGAAGAATGAAAAAAAGTGACAAATCAGGTGGATGAATGTATGAAACCTTTACATGTAGATTTACCAGGAAGTGTGTAATGTGTACATAATTTTCATCTGCCAAGTGTTTTGTCAGTTCATGTCTAGAATGAGCACTTAATATGTTATAAAACTGTGGGTTTGAACATGAATTGTGAATTAGTTTTGAAAAATATTTTTTTTTTAAGTGTTTGGATTAATTTTTCTGTATTTGTTTGAAAGGTAACAAGTGCTTTGAAATTCTTAGATCATGGTAAAATTAAGCTAAAAGTATCTCTTATGATCTTAATGTCATGACAATTAATGTCTTGATGTTAGTATGCATGATTTATGTTTTAGGTCCAGTGACCATGGAAACTTTTTTCCCCACCATTCGTTAGCTCCACCAGGAATAGGATGGAATATCCCTGGACCTGACCAACAGCAATCACCATGGGGACAGAGAAGTGTCTCTCCATGCTTGAACCAAACCAATCCATTCAAAGATAATTTTGTTCTGAACAATACACCTTCAAGTGCATCAAGCAGTGCTCAAAACATCAGTAGAAAAAGTGCTACACAGTCGCAAAGGCATTTACCTACGAGGCTTAAAACTTCTTCTAAGGATACAGGTAACAGCTCTCCATTGATAACTCTTTCACCTGAGAATACTCTTCAACGTAACATGGATGGTAAAGTGAAGACTTCCACTTATAGCATGGATCTTGAAGGACTAGATTTTTCAGTCTCAAGTTCAAATTTAGGTTCTCAAAAACCTCTTAGTTCTTCAGCAGAGGAAATGTCAACTAGCACTCAAAAGTCAGCATACCCAGACTATAGCCATGTGTTTAATGAAATTCGAAGGGAACAAAATGTAAATAATGTGGCACAGTTAAATTCTTGTTACAATATGAACCCCCCTAGAACACAAACTGGGTCATCAAATGCTAATTATTTGAACCCTCCTAAAACACAAACTGGGTCCTCAAGTGTTAATTATTTGAACCCCCCTAAAACACAGACAGGGACTTCTGGTGTTAACTATGGATGGAATGTGTCATATCTGTCTGGAGATAATCATCAAAATTCTGTGAATAAATTGGAACCATCATGGCAAGGGATGAGTACAGGGATCCAGTCAAAGAGCCAGTTTTCTGGTTATCAGTCTACATTTAGGTCAAACTGGACATACCAGAGTCCACGTCCAACTTACAATGCCTGGGGATATAATCCAAATTTTATTATGCCAGCAGCTTCACCAACTTTGTTTCCATCTCTGTCACAGGTCTCTAGTAGCAGTGACTTTGATGATTTACGTTTTCGTAAAGAAGAGGATACTGAAGAGGAGGAATCCGATATTTTTGGAGACGATTTCGTACCACAGAGAGATTTTGTGGAAGAGAATCAGTCTCGTTCCAGGACTTCAAGTGATTTAATAGAATTTGAAGAACCAGAGGAGAAGGAATACATGTCATTGGATTTATTTGATCCTCTCTATTCCAGAACACGTAGGGAGTCTATTATTTATCGGAGAAACTCTATCTCAGGGGAAAATGATGTGTCAAAAAGTACTGAAAGTAATGTGGATTTTTCTGAGTTGGAAAGACCCCAGTCAGGACTGTACCCCACTATTCCAGAAGAAGCTAAAGATTTGGAAAATTCACAGGAAAGTGTGTATAGACCTGACCGCAGTGATACATTGTCTAGTACTGATGCACTGGAACAGTTTTTGAGATCTAGTTTTGTGGCACCTGTAGAAGAAACCAAGCCCGACATCCCGGAACGTCCACCATCAATACTGCCAAGAGCAGCATCAACTCATGAGGTGATATGTTTGTTTCTTCTTTTTGATTATAAATATTTTGCCTAGCTTTTTGTGGCACCCATACTTCAGAGGTATAAAGAGTGTTCATATTGGTGTGACTGCCTGTCTGGTCAATGTAGAAGTACTTTTTTTCCATGTGGTATTAATTTACAATATGTACTTGGTTACAAATTTTCCATGGAAATTTGTCCAAGTGTAACTTGAAGTACATTTAAGACATATAGACTAAGAGGCAATCTAAGAAATCCGCGTAATTTTCTTCCCATAGATTGAACAGAAAATGTGATTCCTTGGAATTATAACCCCATGGAAAAACGTACGATTACAGTACTCCTTTGTACATTGCTGTTAATTTACAGGGTAATTTTCAGAGCTCTTCACATTGTTGCCAGTTCACTGTATATCATCTGATCATTGGTATTTCTAGAAAAAAATACACTGTCCAGTTGGGACAAAACTAGCTCTAAGTAATTTCCAACGTTTCCTTCCCCAGTCAACTTGATAAATCTTCAGTCTACTTAAAAGTATTTACCCTTGGTACATTCAGCTTGATGGGTTTCATGGATGAAAGTCTCATCAAATTTTTTGTACAACTGCATGTTTATCGTTTTGTTTTGTTCTGTTTGATGCATTCAGTTAGAAGAAATTGATGTTTAATACTTCCTAGTAAAATAGAATTAATTCAAAATTCATGAGTGTCTGAGATCAGACGCGGAAAATTCAGGTTGGTCCCTGTATTATTTTTTAAGTATATTGAATAAAAATGGCAATGTTAGGTTTGTTATGACCATGACTCTAGATGAAGATGATATGGTATAAAAGATTTATTTCTGGTGCATAGTTTTAAATGAGAAAATGTAAATGCGTATGTTATGATCAAGGATGAGTTTTTGTGCCCAATATCATTAGCTTAAGGTCAAGTCTTAGGTGTTAACTTTATCTTGCAAATGAGCACATTTAAACACAAAAGAAGCTGTGACTAGAGAATGTACATGCCATGGCCCCAAATTAAGGTCATTTGAACATGTTGAAGATCACAGGAAATAGTTCTATTTGTTGAGTTCTTGCAATTTTTCTGTGCATTATTTGGAATGTTCTTTTCAGGTTAATTCTCTTAGGCCTATTAGGACAGCTTTAGCATGTTTAGTTTGCTCATATTTGCACAACACACATGACAAATAAAGCCATATATACTTTAATGACAATTATGTTTCACATCTTTTTGTTTTAAATTTTAGGGGCCATATGAGAAACTACATAAACGAGTGTTTGTTGATGAAGAGTCTGAGTCATTTAGCCAGATGGTGTCCAAGTGAGTAACAAAATATAATATTTGATATATCTTACAAGATATCTATTATGCCATGAGGATTACAACAAATGCTGGATGCTCAAAAAGCTCTTCTGATGTCATCAACAAATTCTACGACTAAAAATGTAAAACACTTAAATTTTACAGATATATGGAAAAATCTAGTATTACAAGTACTACAAAGAGTTGATGTTTATTAATTGTTGGAAAAATTTATATATGCTTAAAAGTTGTTTAATTTAAAAAATTTATGCTTTAAAAAAAGAGCATCATAGCAGCATTTAATCTCAACGATGCTCGAGCATGTTTAAGGGATGGTAAAAAAAAACAAGGACTTTCAGTTCTTTTGACTGTTTTTTCTACCCAAATTGATTTTGATAGTTATTTTATCATGAATTGGGAATAATTAAATGAAACATGATAGTCATTAAGGCCCATTTCCAGATGTGTCTATAAAAGCTGTCACATCATTTCAAGGATTATGTAAAATTTGCACAAAGATAATTAATAATCAATGCTGCAGGCCTAGACTAAATCTAATAGTATTGTCTGATGCTCTGATATCCTGAAATAAACATTATCTTCTCACCTCTGCCAAAATTGCACTTCAGCTCAAGTGAGGTTTTTTGATCATGTTTTTCCACTGTCCACATCTCTCTTGTCATTTTATCAACTTTTCACATTTTTCAGCTTATTACCTATATTCTCTACTACAACTGGATCATTTTCAACCAAACTTGGCACAAAGCATCCTTTATGAAAATGATTCAAGTTTATTTAGATGGATAGCTATGCAAACATCCAAAAGAAGATGATGAAATTTCCCAGTAACTACCAGTAATTCTCTGGAATTACCAGTATTTTCCACTGTCCTGGGAAATATGAGTATTTCCAGGTTTTTTTCCAACTGTGCAATGATTGGTAAAAACATGGGGAAAAAGTGGCATTATTTAAAAATCTAAAGAATCCCAGAGGTCGGAAATGTGAAATTTCCACAGTTATATAGTATAGATTGAAAATTGTTTAAAGCCTTAGGGTTAGGATGGGGCCGCTTGACCATGTTGAGTGGGTCATGTTTCAAAAATATTTGTCACCATTAGACTGCAAGACAACAGAATTAATATGGAAGAATTTTGATATTATATAGAATCAGGTTTGTTATATCCCACCAAAGGAAGTTTGGAGGGTATATAGGAATCACCTTGTCCGTCTCTCTGTGCAATCTTGTCCGGGCTTTAACTTTGTTATAAAGAATCATTGGAAGCTCATACTTGGTACAGAATTGTTCATGGCTAGAGGGAGTGTCTTGACCTTTACCTAAGGTCATTCTGGCAAGTTTAAGGTCACCGACAGAAAAGTGTAAAATTCTTTTCCCGGCTATAACTTTGTAATGGAGAATCATTAGAACCTCCTACTTGGTACAGAGATTGGTTATGGCTATAGTGAGTGTCTTAACCTTCACCCTTGGTCATTCTGGTAAGTTCAAGGTCACTGACAGAAAAAGTATAGAATTCTTGTATGTGCTTTAACATTGAAAGCGAGAATTATTGGAAGCTCATACTTAGTACAAAAAATGTTTTTGACATGTGGACATGTCATGACCTTAATAAGTTCATTCTGGCAAGTTCAAGTTCACTGACAGAAAAAAGTATAAAATTCTTGTCAGGCGATAACTTTGTAATAGAGAATCATTGGAAGCTCATTCTTGGTACAAAAATTGTTTATGACCTGAGGGTGTGTCATGACCATGACCTAAAGTCTTTCAGACAAGTTCAGGGTCACTGACAGGTCCAGACTATAACTTTGTAATGGAGAATCACTGGAAACTCATTCTTGGTACAAAGATTGTTTACGACCTGAGGGTGTGTCATAACCTTGACCCAAGTTCATTGTAGCAAATTCAAGGTCACTGGTATAAACAGTGTAAAATTCAGGATAGGTGTAGAATTTTCTAATACAGAACCATTGGATATCCATATTTTAATAAAAGATTACTTATGACCAGATGATATGTCATTTTTCATGTTAACCAAGGTATTTTTGGCAAGTTCAAGGTTCCTTTATAAAATATTAAAAACATTACCTCTAGTTCAAATTATGCACACAATAGTATGAAAAGTAAACGGTTTCTGTTGAAAAATAACCTTCTCAAGTTAATTTTCTCGAAAGTTTGCAAGTTTATATAATAACCATTTAATCAAATATTTCCTTGCTGCATAATGGATATGTTAAATTAATAAATTAATTTCTAAATGTTGTTGTACTTGCACGTGGAAAAATCTTGAAAAGTTGCCAAATTGCAAGAAAGAAGCAGATTTACTTGCTTAAGAGTCAATACAAATGAGTTTTGCTTAATTTCTCAATTACCAGTTATTTTCAACACTTAAATTTACTGTTACATATCAATCATGCAGTGAACGCAACCTTCGATACTCTCAAAGATATGGCAAGCAGGAAAACTGATATTTCTTTGAGAATTATTAAGTCTATAAGAATAACAAAGAACATTGTCATTCAAATAAAGAGAAAATGGAATTATGTTACGTCCCTACTAATATATAAGAAATGTTGCAAGTCTTCTTTTTAAAAAAGCACAAGCCAAATTTTGTCAGATTGGCATATACAAGCAAAATTAAAGGATGTAGATTCAACTAACTTATATGTTCCATTAAATTTGGTTGAAGATTAAAAAAATAATTCACATTTTAAAATTTCTAGAGAAGATTTTTTTTTTTTTGAAAACAAGTGTTCAAAGTTTCACATGTCCAATTTGTATTATAAAATATAAGCCAAAGCAAAGAAAACATGCAGAAGTTTTTATACTTCCCGTAAACAAAGTTTGAAAAAATAAACAGTCAAACCTTGTTATCTCGAACTCAAAGGGACCAAGAAAATGCTTCAAGATAACCAAGGATTCAAGATATCTAGGGTAAAATACTTAAACACCCAATTTTATGTTAACACCCCCAAAATCTACCTAATTCAAGATCAATAGTATACCGCCTGTCAATCATTAAAAAAACAATAGCTTCTGATTTGATTGACGAGCCAGCTATGTTGGCTACCTGATAATCTGAGTTTGCATGTTTTTAAAACAATTACCTGGTCAAGTGTCAAATGCTTTCATGTACCGCATGAAAGTTCGCTTTGTATACACTCTGATTTAAAAAAAATCATGTCGCTGTTATCTTGGTTGATAATTTTATTTTTAAAAAATAATTGAGATTAGATAATTAAATGATGACTTGGTGATTTTTTTTATTCAATCTCCACTGCTGTTCTGTACTTGTTAGCGATATGACGTCCAATATAACTGTACTTTCGAAGAAAAATTAGGGATATTCAAACTCTTTCTTCCTTCAATAAATGAGATTCGGAGAGAGAGGTTTTTGTAGTAGCACAGACCGATAATTCTTCTGAGTCCCATATTCAACCTGTGCCTTGATTTTAAGAATGTACATGTATGTAATGCCCTTGTCGACCTTGCACTTTGGTACACAGAAACTCAATTAATTCGCCGTAATTGGAAACAATCGACCCCTCCCCCACTATTTGAAAATTATAGCAACAAAATGCAATGGATTAAATAAGAAAAGATATTTATTCTAATATAGATAAAGTAGTTTGTATCTAACGCTATGAATTACGAAAGATTCTTTTTATATCCAAATCTGTAAACAGGGCATAAGAACAAAGCCCTCGGAAATGGCGAATATTTGTACACCATTGTTCGCAAGAAAAGTAAATAATATTCCGATTGTGGTAAATGTCCACACAATAAGTGGAATCTTTTTATTTCAATTTTCACACTTAATATTTTATAATAATTTCTTTTATTGACGATTAAAATATTGATATGTTTGCTTTGTAGTTTTCATCCGTTTTTTTTTTTTTAATTTTACGATATGTCTTTTTAAATTTTTTTTCTTCTTCAAAAGATATCGACGAAAACGCTAAGTCTACAAATTTTATATTTCAGTACATAATTTATTTTAATGAATTTCACTCAAAATTATGCACAAAATGCGTAATGTTGATATTGATTACCAAAAGCCAGACTTCCTGTGTAATGCAGCGTGTATAGGAATTTCTGACATCTTGAGTATTGGGGCTCTCCAGGTAAATAACACCAGTACTACCAAGACCACTCCCCCTCCTCAGGTAACCGTACGGTAAAAAAATTGGGTCTTTAAGGAATAAGCAGATGGGACTTCAAAATGACTTCGACATTTCCATGGTATTTGAGATATCCTTGTTCGAGATACTGAAGTTCAACTGTATATATATCACCTACAGTGTAGTCTGTTTGTCTGTGCAATTATATCTAGTGCATTACATGTACTTCCATAATGGAGAAGCATTGAAAGGTCAAGTTGACACAGAGATTGCTTGACAAAGTTAGTCATGACTTTGTCATTTGAGGTAGATCAAGGTAATTGAAAGAAAATAGTTCCTGTTTGGTTCATAATTTCTATTAGAGAACCAATGGAAGTTCCTACATTACTTATGGCCAGATTGTGTGTAAACTGTTTTGCTGCCAGATATAATTGTTTAAAACCTCTTTTATTTATTGTCAGTATTTGTCACATTCTTTCAAATGATAGGAAATTTTATTTTCAGATTAAAGTCAAAATTTAGTTCCAAGGACACCACTGTGAACAGAGGCTATGTTGTCAGTGCGTTTTGTGAGAAACATCAGCCCTCCATGTCGGTCAAGATTACCATCCATTCTGATTACTCAGTGGATCCTGTCATTTTTACATGTGATGGTAAGAACATGAAGAAAGTTGGCTATTTCAAAACAAAGATGATTATCTTCATTAGGTCATTTTTTGTTAAGCCAATGATTATCATTTCAATAACAATTTTATCAAAACTTAAGTCTTTCGTTGGGCAATGACATGCTTTGACAAACAGCAATGTATGCTGTTTATTTCATGTATAAACATAGGAAAAACAGTAGATATCACAAACCTTATCTAGTCTGTTTTCTATGATTGGAAGTTTAGGTTTAAGCCATTTTGTTGTGGTCATCAATGCACAAAAATCCAGACTATGAATAAAAATGTCCTATTTGTTGATGGTAAAATGTTCTTATTGTTTGTTTCAGTTCATAGTAATGTAGAACATGTGATAGGCAACGTCCTGTATAACCATCTACAGTCTGAAGGCTGCAGTGCTGACGACTTTGTCCTTAAAGTCTATGATAAGACAGAGTATCTACTCAAGTAAGTTCTGACTGGCATACATGTTTAAGCAGTCTTTTGTTGTTGGTTTTTTTTGGAAAGTACATCTTAGAAATTAATATTTATAAAATATTTCAGTTGTCATGATTATGTTGCAGTTGTCATGATTATTTCAGTTGTCATGGTTATGTTACAGTTGACATAGTGATGTTACACTTGGCAAGGTGATGCTATAGTTGTCATGGTTATGTTTTTATTTTTCATGTTTCAGTGATCACCCTCTGTCAGAGTATGAGTATGTCCACAATTGTCTGAAGCTTGATAAAGACATAAGATTTATCATGCTAAGAAAACAGGATATTCCCTTACCCTTCCTTAGAACAGTATGTAACCACTCTTTTGCTGAGGCCATCTTTAAAATAATGTTTGTTTGCCCTCTCCTGACCAAGGGTAAAAATTTGGGTCGGTAGCTTGGTGGGGAATTTTTTTTCCCTAGAAAATATTGACAGGATGAGAAAATCCAGGATAAAAAGAGGAAAAAAATTATTGTTTCCTGGAGGTTAAAAAAAGTTTTGAGTCAGACCATTTTTAGGCATTCGGTTGGGAGAGGGCAAACAAACAATTTTTTAAAGGTGGCCTGATACAAAAAAATTTAATCACTGAATTTAATTTACAATAAGAGCTTGTTTGGACATTTTGTATATTGAGATTGTTCAGTTATGAATAGTGACTCAGCTGAGTGTTGTGACCCATGGGTCTCTTGCTAGATTGAACTGCAATTAATACCTTATCTTTAACCAATAAATTAGATACATGGGACTAAAAATGTACAGACTGTATAAAATATTTTATGTACAAACAAGGCAGAAAGAGCTGGTACATTGATGTGAAAAGAAATTTATTCGACAATTTTTTTTTGCAGGCAGATGATGATGATCAGTTCCTGGTGTTTCCTAAGGATTACGTGTCAGCCTCAGAAGGAGTGGTATCTCAGTAAGTCTATAGTCTTACCTTGTATACACTGTATGTGGTCAGAGTCTCAGAACATAACGAAAAATCAGTACTGATTGTAACAGGGACTGTTATGGATTTACAGTTGGATAGATATAGTCATTTACAGATGTTCTCAAAAGAGCTTCCCTCCCCACCCCTCCCACAGCATATATGTAATGTTTCTAAATATCAGGCCAGATCTTTGCAAATCACAGTTCTACAAATGCGCATGCATATGTTGGTGCTCTTTTCAATTTGCACCATAGGTTAATCTGTTTTCAAACTGGAAGTATTTTGAAAATAGATAAGGAAGGTGTAACCAGTTTGGTATTAACTCGGATGTAGTGCTTGTGTTAGCAAGTATTTTCAGACAAACCATTCTTAAGTGACATAACCCTGATAATAGTGTTCCACTGAAAAATTTGCTACTGGTAGAAAGCCATTTCAGTCTGGGCCAAACAAATTGAAACAGTGTGTAGCTTCTACTATGTAGATCAGAAAATACTAAAGGGTTGCTCATATAAATCTACATAATTTAATTTTAAAGTACTTTACTAAAATAAAAATTAAGGTAAGAATAAAGAAGTTCTGGTGGTATAACATTTAAATGTTGTTTAATTAGAATTCATTGTTTGGCCTGTGTTTGTTAGGTTTCCTCTATATCTTGTTTTATGATTATACAAAAATCAACCATATAATTACCTATATGTCCATGTATATCGATCCAATAACTGAATTTTTTTTTTTATTTTCAAGAAAATTGACTTTTGTTTTCTTTTTTAAGGACACAACTAGAGACTCTTATGAACACTTTCTCTAAAGAATTAGAAAGCCTAATGGATCATATACTAAAGGTAGGGACTTTGATCATACTGGTTTGTGTGTGTTCTAGAAATAACTTTGAGGAACTCTGATGTATTGATTACTTGAGTGTGATTTCATATGATGTTGATCAAGGTTCAAAAATCCCTTTTTGTTCCAAGTTGACATTACTGGAACTATCACGACATATCAAGTAATAATGTCTGACAGTCAGTATATGGCAGGGTAAATTTTTATACATGTATGGAAAAGGAAAGAAGGACAAAATTCCGTGAACAATTTTTAACATTCCCAACCTTAACTAGCAGTATAAATTTTCATTGTACACTTTTCTTGCATTATTGACATTGATTTGTTCTGCTCCCATGCTTTCAATTTCAAGAAAATGTTTCTATACTTTCGTTTGGTGTAGAAAAATGGCCTCAACACTATATTTAAAGTTTATCAAAGAGAAAAGAGTCTCAAAGGACATGAATATAAAACCAGATAAATTTTAATGTAGATGCTAATATTTTAGCAGGACATTCAGTTTTGTTCTAGACGTTTTCTCATCCATTGAGGTACTTACAATATTGTACCTGTTCTGTCTAACTGAATTTACAGAACAGCATAGGACAGATTCACACCACGGGATTAAGCCAGTCTGTGAAGGCTATCTGTACAATACTAGCTAACATACAGACTATTGAGGTCACCAGGTGTCTGAAGAGAGCTGAGGATATATTTCAACAAATGCTAGAGGTATAGGATCATCTATTTGTATGTACAAAAAGCTAGATGTAGCAGATGTAGGTCATATACTTATTATGTACAATAGCTAGAAGTAGGTCATATATTTACATGTCATGATGATGTGTTTGTAAAAGTGCTAGGAGTAGGTCATATATATGTATATTTATATATTCAAATGCTGGTAGTAAGTGATACAGTATAATACTATTAAAAAAAGATATTATGTACAAATGAAGAATGCTGATGGAAATGTGGAAATTTTTTTATCCTTCAGAATAGTATGAATATGCCTTGTGTCAACCAAGTTTCCTTTGAGACTTCTTGTTTTAATGATTTTGTCATTTAAAAATTAATTTGATTCATAAATGCAGTCTTCTAGTTCAGTATTCACTATTTCTGTACAGAATCAGAAACAACAAAGTGAAGGCTCATCTTATAGAGGAACCCAGGCAGCCATCAGGTTAGTATACTGCCATTTCTTCCCTCTGTTGATATGTAAATCAGGTGAAATAAAATGAATATTCAGAGAGTAAGTATATGGCTTTCCAAATATGATTATATTGAAAATAAAAGGTTAGGGGTTGAGATGAGAAATGTTTGTGTTATTATGAACAAAAACTGGAACTGAGATAAAGATGAATAAAGAGGATATTATGAGGGGAAAAAAATGTTTGTTTTTGGTCAGACATTTATTTACAAAGAAACGAGAAGTGTACATATGACATGGAGATGGCTTTCAATTAGAAGGCCAATGTATCTCTTATTATTTGAAGGGCTGTTGGAAGTACATGTATCTGTTCCTGAAATCAAAGTTTTGTGAAGAAAAAACAGTTAACAACATCAAAAAACGTTTTGAAATACTTTTTTTTGTAGCTAAAATGACCTAAAATCCCTTTTTTCAAGTGTTGGTTGTGTTTGAGACAACATTTTAACGTACAAACATTTACCATCCCCCCTTTTGCAGCATTGCTACTCACTCCTCGCTGGTACAGGAGATGCAGGAAATGCTAGAACAGCTGATGAAGGCCGTCAATCAGCTGATCAAGATGTACTGCTCTGCCTTCCACACAGACTTCATGTTGGGATCACCGGTCAAAAAGAACTGGAGTAAGATATTTAGTAATCCCATCATTATAAGGATATGCTAGTAGGTCATTTGTTATGACTATATAATTGCTGCAAGTTAAAACAAGCATGTAAGACATAAGAGCATCAGTAATGCAAGTGTATTTAACCATTTTCAATGCAATGCTTTGTAATCTTGAAAACTGTACTGGGCATATTTCAATTGTGATAGCAAAATTAAAAGGTCCATCAAACTTGTGTCAACATAAATTAACCCAAGAGTGGTGAATAATTCAGACATTATGATAAAAATACTTTTTAAAAATTGTGTGCAGGCATCTTCTGTGATTCACAACTCAACCAATTTTAATTTTAGATGAGAAATATGTGACAAAAGTTGAAGATGACTTCATCATTCATATTGCCACAGCTCATAGAATACCCACAGAATGGATTCAAAGGTTGGTTCAAAAACAGAGGCATACATTCTTCAAAAAATTTAAAGCTTTTCAAATGTATATCATGTGATATCAATGAATGAACAACTTAAGATCAAGTTTAAATAAGTTCTTATTAAGGACACCATATTGTTTTGTCTTAAGGTATGATGAATATAAAGTTGTGTGTTCACTTCATCATGGAAGCAGGAAAATTGGAGATGATGTTGTGTCACAAACAACAACCAATCAGAAAGACCTGTGTGATTTACTCAACTGGGATCAGTGGTCAGTAGCATTGCTTGTATCTCATTGTAGTGTGTAAATATATATCTGAAATGGAAACAATTCTGCTTTAACCTAAGGAACATATGATATCTTCCTTATGGATATTAAGAGGTTCTGTATTTTTAATTCTCTGTCATTTTAGATCCAGTTAGAAATTGTCAGAAACTTGTTTTGTGTCATACATTGTAGGCTGAGCTTTAAGGATGTTTCTGTCAGTAAGTTACCTAGAGAGACACGGCTTTGTGTGACACTGTGTGGTATGAAGGGGATGCAGAATACACAAAACAATGAGGCAGCCAAAGTGTTAATGGCACTAGGCGGGGTCACCATGCAGCTATACAATCAGAAGGGGTAGGTGGGAAAGAGAACAGGTCAAACAGCATGAAAGTTTGTTTTCCCACAATGATTTATTGATGAGTTATTCTGTGAAATATGTATGTGTAGATTGTAGTGACATCATTAGCTCACCCCAAAGAAGTCGAGATGAGCTTAAGTTATACCCCTGGTGTCAGTGTCAGCATCTGGGTCTATAAGCCCTACCTGAACCAAGCTTGCATGGATGATGCATCTAGGGATGGACACTACCACACTTGCTTCAGATGCTGGATTTTACCTACATTTTCCAGATGAGAAACCTGGTTAAAGTTTTTGGTGCAGGTCCATTCCAAAGTAACTACATGTATAAGCTCTACCTAGACCAAATTTGCATGGAAGATGAATCTAGGGATGTACACTACCCCTCCTGCTTCAGATGCTGGATCTGACCTATATTTTCCAGATGCATGAATTTTAGCCATACTTTAACCAAAATAGCATGGATGATGTATCTTGGGATGGACACTTCCAGACTTGCTTTGGATTCTGAATCTGACTTATATTTTCCATATGAGTGACCAGGGGCCCGTTTTACAAAAGAACTTACGACTAAGACCAAAATTTAATTCTGATTATTTTTTCCTATTTTACATTTATTTGAAAATGGTTTTAATCTTTTTAAAAAGAACCTAACAGTATATTTTTTGCTAGCAATTTCAAACAATCATCAATTTTACAAAATTCTACAATCAATTAAAATATTTAGTCTTAGTCTTAAATTCTTTTGAAAAACGGACCCCAGGGTTTTTGGAGTAGCTCTGTTATTATATGGCCTGTTATGATTAAACTTGCATGGATGGACCATCTAAGGATGAACACTTCCAGACTTGCTGTGGATTTGGAACTGACCGAAATTTTTTTGATTAGTAAACAGTTTAAAGTTTTTTGAGCAGGTCCATCTCCAAGTAACTATAAGTCCTACTCAATCCAAACTTGCATGGATATTGATCTTGTGATGTACACTAACTAGAAAAAAATATGATGTGAGATTTGCCAAATTACTTATAGATGGCATTTGTCGAAGTGAGCTTCGTAATCTTTAATTGCCTATGTTTTTTATTTACGTTTGTATGCAAAATAACTGAAAATTGCTGTTGAATTTCTGACATCTTGTGAATCAAAAACTATAGGTACTTGATCCAAGGCAGTCAGCTGGTTCCACTGAAAATGAACATGCCTGCTGATCCATTCAGTCCTTATTGTTCAGTGTTAGATAAAGATACTGTACTAATGCAAGTAAGTTGTCATCATAGGATGTTTGATATTGCTTCTTTTGAAATCTGGAGAAGTAAATTTATCACGATCACTGAAATCATTTTTATCCCCTCGCGCAACTAGTTGCGGAGGGGATATAGCATCGCTACTGTGGGTATGTGTGTGTGTTAGTGTGTCCGTTACAGCTTGTGGGCAAGATTTAAAGAGAACCTTTGGACTATCAATTCTCAGCTTCCACATACTTATGTGGCATTGTAAAAGGACGAACCCTATTCATTTTCAAATTAATCGGTAAAATATTTCTTAAAATATCGCGATTTTACTACCTTCAAACCCTGAAATTTTATGTACAACTTGACAATACTCGCTTCCGCTTAATCAACCTAGAAAATTTGGTTCGCTTTGACAGACTCACTTCAGTAAGTTCTACTTTGTATTTGCGTATTGTCATATTATTGTGCGTATCTTGAGACAGTCTGTATGAATTAAAAGTGTCATCTCTGACGCTGAGTAATTGAAATAATTTGATGAACGTCGCAGTTTCAGTACCAAATTTCCACAGGTGTCTGTTTACAACATGGAATTTATTCTTGAGGCGCACGTAATTCCTGAAAGCTATAAAGAAATTTCACAAGTTTCAGTAACCTCTCAACACCGGTATATTGTCATTTTTTATTACGAAGAAATATTGCTTCCTCGGGTATTCTCAGATTTTATGCATATTGCATGCATCTTTGAGATTTTCATAGGTAGGTAAATTACTGAAACTTAGAGCATATGTGATATGTTTCTGCTAGGAGTAAGGGAAACTGCCCAATTACATATGCATGTTATTCCCCCCTCCCCCATGATGTTATGCACTTTGATTTAAAAATGACCCCCCCCCCCTCCCCCCCCAAGATGATTTTGTTAAAAAAAAATAATTTGTGCTGCAATATATTTTATTGTCTTTACCTTTAAATATTTTAAACCTAACTAGTTGAGTGTATCTTCATTAACGTCCCTCTTGAGAATTTTGCCATTACCGGTGAAGTGCCTGCAGTGGGGGGATGCTCCGCTTAGCGGTGCTCTTGTTATACATGTATTAACAAGAACTTTATTTTTGATCAAATACGAAAGACTGTCTGCTCATCAAAAATGTAATTCTCGAATATATTTTTGTTGCTAAAGATTATTTGCAACAAAAACCAGAATTCATGAAAATTTTGTCTCACTTTCAAATGCCAAACAACTTTCTTGCAAAAAATAAGGTGTTGCAGAAATTTGGTGATCTACAGTATAATGTTTTAGATATTTAGCTCACCAGAGTCAATGGCGTGGCCCATTTCTATTTGTTAATTATTATCTGCTGTGCACTGTCTAACTTTGATAACTTTCATAAACTTTTTTTTTGTAGATAAATCTGCCAGATTTTGGAGAAAATATTGTATTTCCAGACATTCTTCCAAAAAGTGGAAGGTACATATAGTGGTTCAAAAAAAAACTTTGAACTATATGTGTAGTGTGTACAGGTGTTTACATGTATTTTATTTTTTTCAAGAGCATTTGTTTCATTTTATAGTGAAAGGAAAAGTTTTCAGCAACTTTTGCCAGAAATTCAGGATATTGTTGATGGAGTGCTTGAAAAAGATTGTATATCATCGTATGTATATCTTTTATTATATAATTGTAGAAATAGTGTAACATGATTCTATAAATATATATTTGCATCATATGACCATTTTATCTATAAGCTTTTCTAAACTTAAGAAATATTTAGCCTGTCCTAACACTATTGATATATAAGCTAAATATTTTTGTATTTAGGAAGAAAGTTTCTGATAGATTATCAAATACATGTATCTTTAAAAGTTAAATTTCTCTTAAATTTTGAGAAGAGAAACCTGATTCCTATGAATTCTGAGTTCAAATATTTGAAATTTTGATAACAGTGTGAAGAGGAATAATTTTACTTGTTTTGCAGGAAAGGTAATAATAGTGTTATATTTTTTTGTTCATTACAGATGTCAAGCAGACGAGCTGGAGATTCTGTGGAGATATAGACACTATCTGTATGAGCACCCTCAGTTGTTGCCATGGATACTACAGGGATCTAAGGAATGGGATTATTATCAGCTGGCTGATATCAGTGGGTTGCTGCGGGATTGGACTGTATTAGATCCCATGCAGGCTCTGGAGCTTCTCCTTCCACAGTAATAAAATTAACTGCAAATCAACTTTTCTTTGCAGTTACACTCTTTCTTGATGTTTCGATTTGTATTAATATGCAGCAATTTTAAGATTTCCCTCATGAATCTTTATAAATAGTCCCAAATCATGTTCTATTTGAGTAAAAGGAAATTATTATTCATTCATCCTGATAATATTTCATGATTTTCTTTTGTTTATAATCTTGAGAAGGTTTATGGAGTAAGAAAAGACCCATTTGAATTCAAAATATTTTCATAGTTTGGCAAGAAACATACAGTAAAAGAAGTAGCTATTTCTGCAAACAACAGTTGATCTTTGATCAGAGATCAATTGAAGGTGCAGGCATCTTATATGTATAGTAAAAGATGTAAATTTAGATATGAGTTATTACACTTGGATGAATATTTTAGGTTCCCTGATAGCAGAGTTAGGGAATTTGCTGTCAATTGTCTACATAAAATCAAATCAGATGAGATTGTGGACTTCTTGCCTCAACTTATTCAGGTAACTGTGAATATCAGTGGTACATGTACAACAGTAGTGTAGTTTTTTAACAGTCATATTTCACTATAAAATGTTGCACAAAAAAGTCTGTACAGTATAAAGTCCATTAGCATTTCCAGTTACACTTACATGTAGATATTCATTGTAGTAGAACTTTCAGGGAATGTTTATTGCTGATTTTGTCTGTCTGTCTGTTTTACTGTCTTGTCATTAGATTGGCTGTACACATACAGTGTATATTTATGGTGGCCAAAAGATTCTTCATCATGTATAGGTTATTCATGCAGATTGGTACAATCAATTTGTGCTTGAAATCAGTTGCATTTGTAAGCAAAGTAATATGATTCTGGCAGTGAGTTATAAATTTAAAACTTATTTTGGAGAGACTTCTCAAATCAAAGACATTAGAACCTGAAGATCTGTAAAGCAAGAAATCAAGTTTCTCCTGCATTATTCAGTATAGTGGTTATTAGCAGACTAGCTGACTAAATATGATATCTTTGTTTACAGGCATTGAAATATGAAAGTTACCATGCGTCTCCCCTTGCCTGGCTGTTGTTAGAACGAGCAAGTACAAGTGTAAGATTTGCTCATCAGTTGTTCTGGTGAGTGAATTTGGTATTGTTCAGTCAGTGCTTGTTAAAGGACATGTTCCATTCATAAGTGGAAAATGCTTTCTTTCACAACCATTCTTGATCTTTGAAGGTTACTCAAAGGCACAGCAGCCCAAGACACCACATACAAGCGTAGGTACGAGCTGATGTTTGTGGCACTGATTAATGTGGCAGGTGATCTCCTGTACCAAGAATTTCGCAAACAGGAAGTAATGGTCAAAATTCTAACCACCATAGGAGAGAAAGTCCAAGTGGCCAAGGATAAAGAGGTAAGGTATTTCTGATGTTGTAAAAGGTCCAATACTGGTAACCTTTGATACTCAATTTACAATCAGTAGAGGGAGTGTTTTGAGTTGGTGTAAATTATGGACCTCTTGGGCTGGGATAGGAAAGCAAGGGGCATTAACTTTCTTATTTCACATTTAGCTTGTATTTCTTAATATTTTAAGAGATCTAAGGGTAGATCCTACTACAACATTCATTGGTGCAGAGTACCTGACCTTGACCTTTCTTCTTACCTTGACTTTGCATATGGTTTCTTTTTTTTTTTGGTACTTTGAAAGATTAAATCATTAATTTATAGAACACAGTCAAAACATTTAACCTGTGCTAGTTTTTTGTGACTTTGACCTTATCTTCAGATTTGATCTTACAGTTCATTATTTTAAATTTATCCATTTCTTGATTAGGATAAAGGATCCATTGATGTAAGGTTTTGCAAATATTCATCTTGCTTGGAGCATTTTAATCATATCTAAATATTGTGACATCCATCTTTCTTGTGACTCTAGGCTTACATTTGAATTTCTTAATACTGTATATTCATATAGTCCACAGTGGGGCATTCATATCCTGTGGATTCAATTTAACACAACAACAGTAATAACACATATTTGAAAAAGTTCTGAGGTTACCCCATTTAATTCCAAGGTGTTTATACTTGTATGAGATTGGAATGTGCTATCATTTGCAGAATACTCTTAAGAGAGAATCCCAGCATTTACAGGAGTTCTTTGATGAGAGAGGCAGTTGTTTGTTACCTTATGATCCGGGTCTTTGTGTCACAGGAGTGGATCTAAAGGTGAGGCAGTGACAGCAGCTCTTCCTACCTAAACACTATTAATTCAGAGGTGTATCCAAAAATTAGGTAGTAAATAATATGCAGTGTGTCGCAGGTCAACCCAGTGACATGAGATGTTGACTATAACTTACCACTTCACTGTTCACACTTGTGACAAAGATTTATCAATCATTTCTACACAAAATTAGGTTGTTCTTATCAAAAAGTGTCAAATATCATATAATGGATTTGGCAATAAAATGCAATATTTTCATGTCCATATCATTAAAAGAGCTCTTTATGAAATGTGATTTGGTGATAAATGAAGATGGTAATTCTAGATGGGAGGTACTGTATGCAGGGAAATTTTCACCCCGTTTTTGCCATCATTGCGAGAGTGCAAATTTAAACGTGGTGAATTAAGGGAAGGTCACAACTGTGTTGGTGAATTTAAAGTGGGGTAAAATTGTTTGCAAGTGTGAAAGGGCCAAAATAACATGGGACAAAACTAACCCTGTATACAGTAATAAATTTATAATGTTCAAATATAGCTATATCAGTAGCCTATTGATCTGAATTTTTTTATGTATTTCAGTCGTGTTCGTATTTTACATCCAATGCAGTGCCATTGAAGTTGGTGTTTAGAAATCCCAACATCAGAGCAGATCCAGTCTATGTCATGTTCAAAGTGAATAAAATACTACTCATTTATTTTCATGGAAAAATAAAATTAAGATTAAAATATGAAAAATAAATAAGCAACAGTTAAAAAAATCCAATAATGGTAAGAGGAAATGAATAATATGTAAAATTTGTGATTACTGTGATGTATTTTCTCTATATTGTATAGGTTGGAGATGATTTAAGACAGGACATGTTAACAATGCAGATGATTAAAATAATGGACAGGCTTTGGCTGAAGGCTGGGTTGGATCTTAAAATTATAACATTTGCTTGTCTAGCCACTGGACCTAAAAAAGGTCAGGAGATTTTAGAATATAATCTTTTCAGAAAATTTTCTTTACCTGTGCTAATATTATCATTTGTTTTTTGTACTCTCTATTTCATTGACAATATTTGGCCTTAATTAAATTTAACAATAACAGTGTTATTTACAGGCCTTATTGGTTTCTATAATTGAAATTCATTTAAGTTTGTAAATGGAGAATAAATTGTATTTTTACTCAGGCCTGGTAGAACTGATCACAGAATCAGAAACTCTTAGAAAAATACAAGTACAGGCTGGAGTTACTGGTTCATTTAAGGATCGACCAATCAAAGAGTGGTTACAAGGTCATAACCCCACAGAATTGGAATATCAGAAAGTATGTATATAGTTTAAGAATGTCTAAGGATATAAAATATTAGAATAAAAATTCTTATTTTTGCATTGCCTATGGAATTTGGTGGACACAATTAGCATTGACTGTTATGTCTGTTGGTAAATAAATCAAAGTTTCATAAAAAATACAACATTTTTATTTCAAACATGATAAAGGTTAGTTTCAAGTTCAAAAACATTGAACAAAAAAAGTAATACATGTACAACTGAAACTCTCTCATACTGAAAGTTCACAAGGTATGTGTAGTTATGCCTACATGTAGTTATGCACATTAGGAAGCTATGTCAGCTGTACACTTCAACCGTAACTCTCCTTTGAAGGTAACTCTCCTTTGAGGGTTTATCTGTATAAATAGTAACTGAGAGGTCATGCAGAAACTAACAGCATGTGATTTACATGTTTATATATTTTAAAAATTGTATTCTTGTATGCTGATTTTAAATGCTAGATGATTTAAAATATTCTTTTAATAGCTATTGAACTAGCTCTCCCTGCCCTTAAATTCCCCTCAGTCTGTAAGTCTCTCTCTCTCTCTCTCTCCCTCTCTGGAATACCTAATACTATGCTATTCTTTTTAGGTCACCTGAGTCACTCAGGTGACCTATTGCTATCTGTTTTCGTCCGTCGTCGTGCGTCGGTCGTAAACTTTTGAACATTTTCAGCTTCTTCTCTTGAACCACTGAACCAATTTCAGCCAATTTTGGCATATAGCATCAATGGGTGAAGGGGTACAAAAATTGTGAATTTCATGGTCCCTGCCCCCCTGGGGCCTGAGGGGTGGGGCTAAAACCATCAAAATTAGTGCTATCTTTAAAAATCTTCTTCTTTACTCCTGGACATCAAGCAGTCAAACTGTTGGCATGATTGTAATAAGCATTTAGCCCTCTACCAAAATTGTGAAATTCATGGCCCCAGGGTCAGGGGTTCTGGTGCTAGGGCGGGGCTATATAGATCATATAGTGAAAGTGCATTATTTCTTTGAAAGTCTTCTTCTCTACTCCTGGGTATTATTGAAACAAATTGAATACATAGTTATGATAAGCAAGAGTGACTCTACCAATATTGTGAAATTCATAGCCCCAGGGTGGGCGGTTCTGGTGCTAGAGTGGGGCTATATAGATCATATAGTGAAAGTGCATTATTTCTTTGAAAATCTTCTTCTCTACTCCTGGGTATTATTTAAACAAATTAAATACATAGTTATGATAATCAAGAGTGACTCTACCAAAATTGTGAAATTCATGGCCCCAGGGTCGGGGGTTCTGGTGCTAGGGCGGGGCTATACAGATCATATAGTGAAAGTGCATTATTTCTTTGAAAATCTTCTTCTCTACTCCTGGGTATTATTTAAACAAATTAAATACATAGTTATGATAATCAAGAGTGACTCTACCAAAATTGTGAAATTCATGGCCCCAGGGTCAGGGGTTCTGGTGCTAGGGCGGGGCTATATAGATCATATAGTGAAAGTGCATTATTTCTTTGAAAATCTTCTTCTGTACGCCTGGGTATTATTTAAACAAATTAAATACATAGTTATGATAATCAAGAGTGACTCTACCAAAATTGTGAAATTCATGGCCCCAGGGTCAGGGGTTCTGGTGCTAGGGCGGGGCTATATAGATCATATAGTGAAAGTGCATTATTTCTTTGAAAATCTTCTTCTGTACGCCTGGGTATTATTTAAACAAATTAAATACATAGTTATGATAAGCAAGAGTGACTCTACCAAAATTGTGAAATTCAAAGCCCCAGGGTCAGGGGTTTTGGTGCTAGGGCGGGGCTATATAGATCATATAGTGAAAGTGCATTATTTCTTTGAAAATCTTCTTCTCTACTCCTGGGTATTTTTAAACAAATTAAATACATAGTTGTGATAAGCAAGGATGCCTCTTCCAAAATTGTGAATTTCATGGCTCCAGGGCCAAGGGTTCTGGTGAAAGGGGGGGGGGGGGGGTGGCTCTATTGATTATATAGTGAAAAAGCAAAATATCTTTGAAAATATTCTTTTCTACTCCTGGTTAAAAAGCAAAGAAGCTAAATGTATAGTTATGATGAGCAAGAGTGTTTCTTCCAGAGTAGTGAATTGCATGACCCCTGGGTCAGATGTGCTGGTGTAAGGATGGGGCTCTTGATAATATAGTGAAAATGCATTAATTCTATTAAATAATTCTGTCTGCTCTTAGTGTTAAGCAGATAAACAAAGTGATAACTTATGATGAGCAAACTTCTGGTCCCAGGGTGAGAGGCTCTGGTGTTTCTCGCTTGAAGGGGGGGGGGGCTCTATTGATAATATAGTGAATCTGTAGTAAAAATGCATTATTTCTTTAAAAATCTTCTCTGCACCTGGGCATATCAGAGGCAAAAAGAGTAAAAGTTTTAATAAGGAAGCGTATTTTTACCAGATTTTTGAACATCTGGACCATTTGGTCAAGTGTTCTGGTCCTGGCCAGGGCTCTATTCATTTGTATTCTACTGAAAGGAGTTATTCCCCTTTGCCATTTACTTTTGATAATTAATCACTGTAAATGATGTACTTGAAAGATTAATAGAATAAGAGAATTATGCAAGAATTTTTATTGTATAATACAAAAAGTACTTTCATAGTTTTAATGATCAGGTAGACTTGTAAGTAATAGATAAATAAAAATGAGACAAAAATAACTTGTCTTATTAAATGTTCATCAAAGATCAAGAGAGGCCAATTTTCCTTGATTTCATCAAGGAATTAAAATAGTACAGAAGCACTGATTAGTTTGTTAATATACTGTATGGTGATAGTGATAAACGGGGAACAGATTAGAACCTAATTTACAAACTGTTAATGAATACTAGACTAATTATTTGTTGAACCTGATCACCCTATTTTTCTTGCTTTTGGGCAACAAAGCTTCACCTTTCAGTTCATTTTATATTCTATGCATCCTTTAAATTGTTGTATCATACTCAGGTGACCGTTAAGGCCCTTGGGCCTCTTGTTTATATTTTTTTGAATTCTTAAGTAACTTTTGCTATCTGTTCCATCCCATCGTCTTAGTTATAGTGCAATACACTATTTATAAACTTTCTGTAATTACTTCTTCTTTTGCAAGATAATAATGAGTAATTAGCCCTCAACTAATCTTGCAACATTCATTTTTTTTTAGATGCTCATAATAAATATTGAATTTGACCATTGGCCCTTTGATAGCATATTATATGCTATATATATGATAGCATAGGTCATTTGAACAAGCTAGCTCTTTAAAAAGGAGAAAGCAGTTAGTTTGTAGGGGAGCAACATGAGGAAAAGGTGTCTTATGACTTGGAAAGCATAGATGTGTGGAAATACTTATAATAATCATTGCCATTTATTTCTCACAGGCTTCTTGTTTCTCCTTGCAGGCTGTTGACAACTTCACCAGATCCTGTGCTGGATATTGTGTGGCTACTTATGTCTTGGGAGTGTGTGATCGTCATAATGATAACATTATGTTAAAGCAGTCAGGTCACATGTTTCACATTGACTTCAACAAATTTCTGGGAGATGCTCAAATGTTTGGCAATTTTAAAAGGTCAGTATATGTTTTATTTTGGCATTGTGTTTTTTTTTTTGTATTGCATATCTTCATACAAGTCATCAGAGAGTCTGGTTGACTCACACTGATTTTATGATGGAGCCATTTGTATCACCTCCAAAAAATTTTTGGTTCTGATTTTATTAAAGTTACTATAATTGGGTTAATAAACTTAATATTCATAAGCCCAAGCATACAAATTGACCACAGATGATGGAGAAAGGAATGCTGTGTACTCAACCTTAGATATTTGATAATGGGTAAAAAACATTTCTTTGAAATGTATATTTTATTTGTAGTACATTAAATCTATTATAATTTTTGATGCTCTTTTTTAGGGACCGTGTTCCATTTGTTTTGACCTCTGACATGGCATTTGTCATCAATAATGGAGAGAAACACAGTGACAAGTTCCAGCTGTTTATTGATCTTTGTTGTCAGGGCTTTAACATTCTCAGAAGGAATGCAAACCTCTTCCTTAACTTATTTGCTTTGGTAAGATTTTACACAATTTAAAAATTGATAAATTTTAACACTCTATGGCATGATGAGGGTTGCCTAGATGAGGTTTATTGAACAGTTGTGCTTGAAAATTTTTTAATAACATTTTTTGGGCAATTTACTTTGAAGTATTTTGGTCAAGATATCCTTTAAGGCAAGCAAGTTCAAACAAAAGTTTGGTACATTCAGAAAAGATTTGAACTAAAGATTATTTTAAATAATTACATGTAAATATATGATATTTATGAATTAGAAGTTTGATTAATATAATTCTTCAAGGTATACGTCAATATTAGAGATCAAATCAATATTGGAGATCAGGTGAGATTGACAAGTAATTCCAATTTCAGTCTGATGATGCATTTAAAGATGACTACTAAAAGTAATGTGGAATGCATACCAAAACTCTTAAAAGAAATGTGTTAAATCTTTAGAGATTTGACATTTAAACTTACTTATTACAAAATGTTTGCAAAAGTGAATGACATAATGGCTATCAAACTTTTATAAAGATAACTATTCTGTAATATGTTAACAATACTCTGTGGATATTAGCTCACTAAATTGAGATGAGCGTATCCAATACCTCCTGTGTGGATTTCCTTAGGTTTTGGATCAGTTTTAATTCTGTAGCAATTATGAGCACTACTAGTGACTATGAGCACTACTTGTCCCAATTTGCAGTGACAATGCATCTAGGGATATTATATACATGCATTGGAGTGGCCAGGTATACATTTTTGGAGCAGGTTTATTCCAAAGTATTTTAAGGCAATAATTAGAAAAAAAACTTGCTCTGGTGGTGCACCTTTAGATGTTTGTTATGCCCCCTTTCGAAGAAGGGACAATCTGATTAAAATCAGATCTTTGTTATGCTCCGAAATTCTGATAATCGCAGTGCGCTTTGTACAGTGACTATCAGAATTCTGGAGCATAAGAAAGATCCAATTTCTATCAGATTGAAGAAGGGAGGGCATATGGCTTTGCTGCTGTCTGTCAGTCGGTCAGTCTGTCTATCTGTCTGTCTTTCGGTCGGTCCACAAACAGTTTCCCTTCATTTTCTTCGCAGAGGTTGCACATACTGAAATGAAATTTGGTATACAGATTAATCATGAGAATATCTTGGTCAAGATCTGTTTTGGGTACAATCGAGCAATTTTTGACAGAGTTATGCCCCTTGGACTTAGAAAAATTCCAATTATTTGCATTTTCCATTCATTTTCTTTGCAGAGGTTGCACATACTGAAATGAAATTTGGTATACAGATTTACCATAAGAATATCTAGGTCAAATTCTGTTTTGGGTAAGATCGAGCAATTTTTGACAGAGTTATGCCCCTTGGACTTAGAAAAATTTCAATCATTGTGGGGGGGGGGGGGGCATAAGTGTTTCACAAACATCTCTTGTTAATATTTCTCATGCTTTTGATGCTGAATCCAGAATGTAAGTAATGAGGATGAAAATTTTGGAACAGGTCCATCCCCAAATAACCCAAAGTCCTACTGTAGGGAGGATGTAAATAAAGATGCAGCACACAATTGCTTCTGAAACTTGCATCAGATGTTCAACTTAAATGCTGTAATGGTGAAATTATTGACTATTAATTTGATAAAACAATTTTGTCTCCCTTGAAGATGTCGTTTGTTGAGGTGAGCTTTATCATGTTTTATTTCTGCATTATTGAGTGAATGCATCTTTTTGGACTTGCAGACATATTTTTTTTTTACATCTCCATATGTACAATCATATACTTCCATGCAAGTTGAATCATCATTGTCGACAAGTAACAAGATCTAAGTATGAATACATGTATTTTGATTTTAAATTTTTTCTAAAGAGTACTGTAGCACTAAAATTTTCATCAGGTAAACAGGCATCTTCACAATATCAAAGTTTGTGACACAATTCCTCTTCACAAACCCTTGACAAAAATCACTGTTTAAAAATTAGGCTTGTGGTTACACACAACGTAATGGTTAATTATAAACCAGCCAATGAGAATGTATCTTTCAAATCTGTACTTTTCAAGTGGCTCAAAGCCATAAGCACATCTTTTGTGATTGTAAGAAGGATATTCCAAAAATTAATCTCCGATATTTTATTTGAGGTAACTGGTCACAAATTTTACAATATTGGCACTTTCCATTTTAAAGACAATCCATATTTGATTACAAAACTTACCTACAATAAAGGCTATTTTCTGATTGGTTACAGTCCAAAAACCTGGAACCAATGAAATAGTAGCTTTCTAGCCGACTTTTAAATAGCAACTTTTAATGTCATGGATTTGTGTAGAGGAATGATATCATAAAACATAGACATTGTGAAGATGAAAAACAGGTATTAATGTAATGTTCCTTTCTCCAAAATATCATTGAATATCACAAGCATCAATTAGTTCTACCAATGTACTTCAGGTTTAATTTACTCTTAATGCAGTGAATTGTTTCTCCATTTTGAAATATGAGTATTCCTCATTTTCATATAATGGTATAAAATCCAGAAAAATTTCTGAAATAAACATCCTTTTTGGAACCACAGAAATACCCTTATCACAATAAGTTGCTTTTTCTGCAGCCCCATTCCCCCTTTTTTTAAAAAGGTTGATTTATATTTGTGAGTCAGTGAACTGAACTGTTGGTTGTGTCATGAAGATCAAGATTGAACACAATGAAATATTGACATTTTGAAACAAATTGTATTAAGTCAAGTAAAATATAGTCAGTCTGATATGTTATTAAGCATTTCATTAGGCTAAAAGCGATGTTTTTAGATACAAGGAAATGTTAGTTTAAGAATTATTTTATTCATAATATACAGGGTGTTTCATAATATATGTTACATTTTGAATCATCAATTTGACAAACACAAGAAAAAGATACAGACAAGTGTTTTTATCAATTTGATGCATGTATCCATAAGATTCATTTTGTAAAATTACCAACCAAAATATTAAACACTGGACAAAATCTCAAACATTACTGAAAATAGCGAAATTTCTAAATTACGCCATTTTTGTTACGTTGAATTTCATAACGTCAAAAGCCCATTACTTGTTCTTAAAATGATTTCCACTATTTCAATTACAATTAAATGAAAATTTCCTCTCGAAATTTGTATAACCTTGTCAGACATATTTGTTAGACATTCCTCATTTAAAGGTTTATAGGGGGTTTTGCAGCTCATTCAGTATCTTTAATCTAAGATTGTAGACCCTGTTCCTAAAGAATCCCTACAAAAAGGCTCAGAGATTGAGAATGGCGAATGCGAATGAAGAGATCAAACTCTTTTCTTGGGGTATTGCATTATTGAAAATTTGTACGTTGAAAACTATATACATGTATATCATATTTCAAAGTTCAATATATGCTGGCAATGCTGATATAACCAGCATCAATTTCTGAAAACATCCATCTGATCCTTTACTCAGGAGTTTACTAAACTATTTAAGAGTCTCCAGTTCACCAATTAAATCTTCGGTTCTTGAAGTCCTTAGGCTCTCTGGAGTACCGTGTCATTTATCGCATATTGCTCGTCCCTGTCCTTTAATTTTGTTACTATCCTTCTAATAAGCATCCTAAAAAGTTTCCATTCTTTTGGAATATTTCCTTCATCAACTTCTGAATATTGGCGACATGTATTGAAAAAACAGCTTTACAATACAGCAATATGTTGATAAGTTAAGTCCATTTCGAAAAATACTCAAATTAGGACATCGGCGTTTATGTCACAATGTATCATTGTAATACCATGAATTCCTTGACTTTTTCATATGGAACAAAAATGCAGGATTTGATGTTTAAAATGATATATAGTTTGTAGTAGAAATATGATAGGTAAGAAATATAATTAGATTTTAAAATGTAACATATATTATGAAACACCCTGTACATAAAAGTATATACAATGAACATGTATTGAACAACAGGAAAAAATGGCCTACATTAGTTCTCTCCAAACAAGGAAATGTTAAAATAGTGACTCTTAGGGTATAATATGTGATGGGTATTACATCAATTTGTAAATGTAAAAGAGGAAAAAAAAGAAAAGAAAGAAAGAAGAGAAAAAATGGAAAATTATAAAAGATTTTTAGCTCACCTCGACGAAGTCGAGTTGAGCTTATGCTATACCCCCGGCATTGGCGTCGGCGTTAGCGATGGCGTCCCGGTTAAAGTTTTAGGAGCAAGTCTATTCCCAAGTAACTATAAGTCCTACCTGGACCAAACTTGCATGGATGATGCATCTAGGGATGGACACTACCAGACTTGCTTCGGATGCTGGATCTGACCTACATTTTCCAGATGAGTGACCAGGTTAAAGTTTTTGGAGCAGGTCCATTCCCAAGTAACTATAAGCCCTACCTGAACCAAACTTGCATGGATGATGCATCTAGGGATGGACACTACCAGACTTGCTTCGGATGCTGGATCTGACCTACATTTTCCAGATGAGTGACCAGGTTAAAGTTTTTGGAGCAGGTCCATTCCCAAGTAACTATAAGCCCTACCTGAACCAAACTTGCATGGATGGTGCATCTAGGGATGGGCACTACCAGACTTGCTTCGGATGCTGGATCTGACCTACATTTTCCAGATGAGTGACCAGGTTAAAGTTTTTGGAGCAGGTCCATTCCCAAGTAACTATAAGCCCTACCTGGACCAAACTTGCATGGATGATGCATCTAGGGATGGACACTACCAGACTTGCTTCGGATGCTGGATCTGACCTACATTTTCCAGATGAGTGACCAGGTTAAAGTTTTTGGAGCAGGTCCATTCCCAAGTAACTATAAGCCCTACCTGGACCAAGCTTGCATGGATGATGTATCTAGGGATGGGCACTACCAGACTTGCTTCGGATGCTGGATCTGACATATATTTTCCAAATGAGTAACCATGACAATGTGTTTGGAGTAGCTCTATAATTAATTATATGGCCTGTTATCATTTAACTTGCATAGATGGTGCATTCCAGACTTGCTTCAGATGTAGGAAATGAAAGACATTTTCTTGATTAGTGAACAGGTTAAAGTTTTTGGAACAGGTCAATTCCCAACGAACTATAAGACCTACTTACACAGAATTTGCATGAATATTGTTTTCAGGATGCACACTAACTATAAAGAAAATATGATGTGAGATTTGCATTACTTTTACTGATAACATTTGTCGAGGTGAGCTTCGTAATCTTTGATAACCTATGTTTTTTCTTTTTAAATGGTCAAGCATTACATTCTCTACTTTCCTGATGGGTCATGAACCCTTCAATTTCTCATTGGTTTCTGTCATCCATTCAATGACAAAGTTTTTAGATTATTTATTTAATTTATATGTAAATATACAAACCGGTATTTATTTTGAATTTTACTGATAAAAAATTCTGAATGCATGAATTTGAATAAAAGCATATGCGTAATTACATGCAGTTAATGCTTCTAACAAGGTTTGGACAGGTCCAGTGGCATATACCATAGTTCCTGGTATGCCATTCTTCTTCTTCATGTCTTCTTGTATCGTATTTCATGCATATGTAATTCTGCGTCATTGCATAATTCAGCAATCTTCTTCATAAGCCCCTAGATCAAAGCTGAGAAGGGCCGGGGCACTTTGTATGTTGGTATGTCTGTCTGTTCTTTCTTTGTCAATCTTTGTCTTTCTCTCTTAGAAACTTTAACAAGTTGCTCATGTCTTTTGTTATGGAGGCTTCATATCTGGTCAGATGGTAGTATTATTGCATTTTGTTTACTACTATGAAGAACAAACCAAAAACAGAATTCCACCCAAAATCTTTGTCTTATGCATTATAAACAAAAATAATTTTAAAAATTCACTAAAAGATGTAAATGATTTAGATTATTTAGGTTGTAGTTTGTTTAATTAATCTTTGTAGTTATCAAGGTCGGGGATTCCCGGAGTGACGGAAGGAGCAGCTCGGTACATACAGAGGGCTCTGTTACCTGGCCACACAGAGGCTCAGGCAACGGCCATGTTCACAAGGTACAGTGCAGGGAATTAATTTTGTTACATAAACCAGCATAAGCATTAGTAGCATCAGGATCGAGCTAGCATCAGCATTTAAAAAACAGCATTACCAGGATCAGCATCAGCAAGCAAAGGATAAAACCAGCATTGACCTACATAAAATCAGCATTATCCTACTAGCATCAGAAAATCAATGAGTTTTAATTCAGTAAAAAATTAAAAAAAGAAAGAAAGAATACTGGTAAAAGTATTCACATTATTGATACATAGTGAGATATTATGATCAAATAATTGTAAAAGGCACTTTTATTGCTTTAAACGGCAATGCTGAAATTCATTATCTACTTCCGGTAGCATGATGCTACTTCCGGTAGCATTGACCTAATTATAAAACAGCATCAGGATAAGGATTACTAGCATTAAATCAGCAAGCAAAGGAAGCATTCAAATCAGCAAGCAAAGGAAGCATTCAAATCAGCATCGATGCTGTAACAAAATTAGTTTCCTGCACTGTAGCCACATGTCAGAGATATGAAATTAAATCCTTATTACTCTAAAAACTCTGGTATTTTCTGTTTTGCTTTTATTGGATGATAAGAGATTCAGCATATTGAAAATTACAGTCTTGGATTCTAGAAATTTCATTAAAAACAATATAAAGCACCAAGATTCATTAAAGGTATTCAATGTATAATGAAGGGATTTTGAACAATTTTGAATCATCTTAAACTAGTTAAAAATGCATTGCTAGATAACGATGAAAGTGAGATGAACAAAAATTCACATGACAGATAACATGTAAGAAGCCAGTCATTTTGCACCTTAAAAGTTTTTGAAGAGTTATCTGCCCTTGATGAAAAGAAGAATATTTTTGATTTTTCCAAAATACCATGGAGAATGATTTATTTTATTTCATATTATAATAAAGAGAGAGTTTATGCATATATTCACCAAGAGATTTGTATGAAATTCAAATTACTTTTTACAGTATCTTAAATAACACATGCGCTGCCCATAGACTTCAACGTTAACTTCAAGGTACAATTAATTGTACAATAATCAAAATTTGGTAAATTCCTTTGGCAGAGTATTTTTGTTTGATTACACCTTCAAAATGCTACCATGATTAAAAAATCGGACCATTCATTTATTAAGAACAAAAAATGGTCTTTATACATTGAATACCTTAAAAATTGTTTTTCCTTAACACATCTTGCACACCTTAATTTGGTAGCAAATGTTATCTTATTTAGCTCTATCTTGTGAATACTGTATATGATGCTTTCTTTAAATTTCAGAATGATTGAGGACAGTTTGAAATCAGTATTCACACAGTTTAATTTCTTTATCCACAACCTTGCTCAGATGAAGTTTTCCAGCCATCAAGAGGGTGCATTACTGTCATTTGTTCCAAAAACTTACAGGTAGTCTACTTTCCTAGTTGAGATGGATAGAAAAGTCATGTTGTCCAAAAAGTATAGTATGACATCTTAAACTTGACAAAGTTAAAATGAATAATTGGGTTAAGATATGCTCCAAATGGTATGATTTTTTGTATATATACATGTGCCATTACGTAGAAGATAGAGGAGTTGGAAAAGGAGAACTAGTATCCATGTGCCTTATTTTAATATTAAATCATACATGTATCTATATTTATTTTTTTTTTTTAATCTTTGAAATAATTTTTTTTTTCAAAAGCTCAGTTAAAATGTAGAATTCAAGTAATATATATTTCTTCTGAATCTTCTCTATGAACCTGTAAGGTATGCAGTATACATTCATAAATAATCCTCTGATCACAATTACATCATGCAAGGGATTTTTTTTTCAGTATAAATACAGATGGTAAAATTGAGAATGTGGTCGTACACAGTTATCAGAAGCGTTATGATCCTGAGAGACACTATGTAAGTCCCGAGTTTCATGCATTTACTTGTACAGTACTGTGTGCAGTTTTGTTACATTACTTCTCAATAAAAAAAAACTGTTACGTAGATACAAAATTTCCAATGTCCTTTAGATTTTTGATTTTCTGTACAAGGTTTTTTTTTTTTCTTTTTATAGATCTTTATTTTCAAAGTGGAACGGGTCAACCAGAAAGTTCCTATGTATGTCTTTCGCCATTATTCAGAATTTCTTGAATTTCGAAACAAAGTTATGGATCTCTTTCCTCTTACTTCCTGGCCGCCACCATTAAGCAAGCAAGTATTCTATTACTGATACTTTTTTTCTTCTTACGGATTGTGTTTCAAAGACTTTTTTTTATATAAAACAAGAAATCTTTACGTGTTGACTTGCATGTTTCATAAACTAAAAGATGATCAACAATTAAGCATATGATTAAAAAATTTCAAGCAATTCAAAAATGTTTACTATGCTACCATAAGAAAGAATGTTCTGAACAGATTTCAGATGGGTCGATCTCACGTGAAGAAATTAGCTGAGGCAAGAAAGCAGGAAATGGATAGATTTGTTCATGAGTTATGGAGGAAGGCACCAGAAGTCTGTGAGGTCAGTTCAGATCTCATGCACAATATATGATACTTTTATTTTTGAAAATGTCTATCTTTGTTGTGTTCAAAAATGAGTTGTTAAGAATACGGTTGAAATATCACCAACTTGACTTCAAGTACCCACTACTTAAAATATAACCTTTAAATCACAAGCTTGTCATTAGTGGTGAGTTCAAGATTGAAATGGATTGTAGCGGCATAGCGCATGTAGCTGCTAGGTGCTAGATATCTAAGTATTTTGAATGGATTGTCAACTAAACCCTATGTGTCAGAGGTGGATACAATTATCTTAGTAATAATTTATTTTCAAAACATGGATGCTTTCATTGAGATATTGACTAATCTTAACAGTTTTAAAATCTTAATGTATATGTTACAAGTACCTAGACTATTGCACAGTTTTAAAAATTCATTGCAGTAAAGTACTAAGTCTTCTATGACATATATGACATACAGCACTGTTACAGTGGCACATATGACATACAGCACTGTTACAACAAATAAAATATGTTCCTTCCTTACAGAGTGACATTGTATACACATTCTTTCACCCTCTGTTGAGAGATGAACAGGAAGCCCAGAAAGCCAGACTGAACATCCCCAAACTTAAAGGTAATTCCAGCAGCTATGTAAGGTTTATTAAAGCTGAGCATTAAAATATGGGTAGATATTTATACCATATTTGTATGACAGGACTCTCGCACCACTGTTTGGGCATGGGGCTGTAAAAACTGGAAAAATAGCGACCTTTGGGGAACATTTGGGATAACCATTATACTTTAAAATGCAAACTATTTTACTTATGACTTGGTAGTGAGTCATAGTCTTGATCAAAGGTCATTTGGGCAATGTCTAGGTCACTGGCAGAAAAAAAATGTGAAAAGTTGCCCCTTTCCCAGCCTATAATTTTGTTGCAGAGAAAAATTGACACACAGTCACTCAAACATTAAAGACATAAACAGATCACCAACACATCATGAGAATGCACAAGTAGATTTGTTTTGTTAAATCCAGATCCAGGCCCTATTGTATACCTCGTGGTATCCACTTTTAAGCAATTTTAACCATAAGGTGTTGGTATACAGTTTTGACTTTGTATTGTACAATTCAAATATTGCTTATAAAGAATGCATCGGGATCTTGACCCAAAGTCATTTAGGCAAGTTTAATGTCAGTGGGATAAAATATCACAATTCCTATCTGGGTCATGAAGATGTTTTGGAAGCATATTGAGTAATAGAAAGATTTGAAGGCAAACAACAACATTGACCAACAGTTTTGGGGCTGCTTATAAAAATTCTGAAATTTTCTGTGATATATTTCACAGAGAACCATGTGGAGCTGGTACCCCAGCGTTCACAGTTTGGGATGGTGAAGCTCTCCATTCATCACCGGAAGAATATATTACACATCATGATAATGCATGCCAAAGACCTAGTAAGTGCATTGTGGAATTTAAAAATAAGACAATATTTTATTACTCACAAGGCAAAAAACCAAAGAAAACTTTCCTAAATGGAAGATATAAAAGATGAATTCTTTTTGTTTTATTTGTAGCCTGCCACATCAGAACTGCCAAGTCCTTATGTGAAAACATATCTACTGCCAGATCCAGAGAAAGAGACCAAACGGAAAACAAAAATTATAAAACATTCCACGCATCCTACCTATAATGAAGTGGTAATTATATTTCTTTCCATACACCATAAACGAAAGGATTGGTCTGGTAAAGCATTTTTTTTTTAATTTTGCTTGTTTATCGGTCTGCAACCTGGTGTTTAACCTTAGCGTGCTCATTACTTTTGAAGAAAAGAACAAATTATTATGTTCAGAGGATTTTATATGACCTTAAACTGAGGTAATTTAGAAAAGGCCAAGGTGTCAGATTCTTGACCAACATGTAACTGTAATGGAAAAACATTTGAAGTGCTTGGCAAGAACAGAGGGCATGTCCTTATACTGATCAAAGGTCATAATATAGGCTAAGTCAAGGTCACACAGATTGGAAAAATAGGGAAATTGTCATTATAAAACTGAGCTGGGCTCCATCATCCGTGGCATTAATGTTTCATTAATACTTTTTAAATTACTACAGCATCAAGTATAAAAATTTTGAAAACTCAAAAGAATTAGCTTCAGTTTCAAAGGTTTTTATGCCCCCGGATCGAAAGATCCCAGGGGTATATTGTTTTTGTACTGTCTGTCTGTTTATCTGTTTGTCTGTTTGTCTGTTGTCAACTTTAACCTTGCCCATAACTTTTGATTGGTTGGAGCTATGACTTTCATATTTCACATGTGTATTCCTTGTGACAAGACCTTTCTTTGGGTACCATCATATTTGACCTTTTGACCTTGACCTTGGAGTTTGACCCACTTTTGCAAAATTTTATGAGACTTTAACCTTGGCCATAACTTCTGAACAGTTGGTGCTTGGGGTTTCAAACTTCACATGTGTATTCTTTGTGACAAGGCCTTCCTTTGGATACCAACAACTTTCACCTTTTGACCTTGACCTTGGAGTTTGACCTACTTTTGAGAAACTTTAACCATGGCCATAACTTTTGAACAGTTGGTGCTTAGGGTTTCAAACTTCACATGTGTATTCCTTGTGACAAGACCTTCCTCTGGATATCAACCACTTTGACCCTTTGACCTTGACCTAGGAGTTTGACATACTTTTGAAAAACTTTAACCTTGGCCATAACATTTGAATGGTTGGAGTTAGGGCTTTCATACTTCACATATGTAATCCTTGCGACAAGACCTTCCTTTGAATACCAACCACCACTTTGACCTTTTGACCTTGACTTAGGAGTTTGACCTTCTTTTGAAAAACTTTAACCTTGGCCATAACTTTTGAATGGTTGATGCTAGGGCTTTCATACTTCACATATGTAATCCTTGTGACAAGACCTTCCTTTGGATACCAACCATTTTGACCCTTTGACCTTGACCTAGGAGTTTGACCTACTTTTGAAAAACTTTAACCTTGGCCATAACTTTTGAATGGTTGGTGCTAGGGCTTTCATACATCACATATGTAATCCTTGTGACAAGATCTTCCTTTGGATACCAACCACTTTGACCTTGACGTTTGACTTTTATTTAAAAAACTTTAACCTTCGCCATAACTTTTGAACGGTTGTATCTAGGTCTTTCAAATTTCACAGGTGTATTCCTCGAGACAAGACCTTTCTTTGGTTATCAACATTTTTTATCTTTTGGCCTGGATTTTGACTTACATTTGAAGAAACTTTAACCTTCGCCATAAGCTGCCATACGGGGGCATCAGTGTTTCACAAACACATCTTGTTTGCTTTGTATTATATTAAACACATCATCAAAAATCTTATCAGTCTTTGATCTTTTTACAGATTGAGTATAGAATGAGTCTTGATGAATTGAAACAAAAAATTTTACAAGTGAGTGTCTGGGACCATGATGTTCTGAAAGAGAATAATCTCCTTGGTGCTGTGTACATAAAGTTACGGGAGATGGATGTTTCTAAGGAAGTACCAAAATGGTACAACCTGGAAAAAATTCAAATCACTAATTCCAGCATTGCTTAGCAACACAATAAACAAATCTGTAGACTGTTACTCATTTACCAAGTTTGTAAATTAAGGGCATTGGTAAGCTACAAGTGCAGGAAGAAAACGTAGATAGGATTTTATCATTAAAATGGTCAAATTTATTTTGAAACTAATTTAAGGGGATTTCTACCCTTGCTTGGTCTGAGGAAAGTTCAGTTTAATATTTTTTAGATCTCAAAAGTAAAGATAGCTTGTTGAGATAAATGTTCAGGACATATATAATGCTCTGTATACAGTGTATATATGTACACCTTCATACAATCCTTAAGTCAAATTTGAACTCTGTGCATATAGGCTTTACAAATGAGAATATGTATCGGGGTACTAAAAATGTCAACTCTTATATAACCTTATTGAATGTGGTTAAAGTCAGTGGTGTTTTTTTATGCATGTATTTATGTTTGAATGAATTTGGAAAAAGTTAAAACTGTTGAATTACATGTATTTTCTTTTCTTGTCTCTGTTAAAAGTCATTTCAGTACCTTTCATTACAGGAGAAAGTGATCGTAAGCTTGCAATTTTTCTAAAAAAAATTCTCAGTTATTGAGAGCACTTGTTTGTTTGAATTCTCTCTGCTTCAAGTCATGTTATATCTGAAGAAAAAAGAAGTGGCTAAGATTATAGTGTTAACACTATTTACATTCTTTAAACACAAATTGTCAACACAACAAAACACAAGTGAAGTGACAGAAAATAGCGGCAATTTAAGAACAAGTTCCATCCTTTCTGTTGAATTACACAGTTTCTTTTTTCACAACACTTACATATATGTTACATGTATTTCAAAATCTGTAAACTTTTTTAAATTTTACCGAAGAATAGTGCAATAAAATAATTAAGAAGTTGTTCTAACTTTTTTGTAGATTTTTTTTGTCATAGTATAATTGATTAATTTATGCACAAAGTTCAACTTTGACTCAAGGATATGGAACCTAGATTCCATTAGAAATCCAGGAACCTTGCCAATGTCCCTCATCAACTCAAAAAATATTTTTATGCACCATTAGGTCACTGAGTATATTGGTCTTCTTCATCAGCTAGTTGTATGAATTGAGATGAACATTTGTTTATGTTAATGTTGTGATCAAAACTGCTTCTTCCAAAAGTGCTTCCTTGGATGAACAATTTGCTCAGATCAACTGTTCAACCATTATAAGTTCTTATCATTTCAAGTCCAAGGGTACAATATTATAATTGTGTTGTGTTTCCAAGTATCATAACTATGTGTAGGGTAAGCAAAAAAAATATGAAAAATAATATGCATTGTATGCATAAACTTTTTTAAAATTATTTATTTTATATAAAGGTGATTCAGTCTAGGATGAGAGTTGGAAAAATAATTTTGCATGGTCTCTTGTACATAAAAATTCTATGTAGTACAGAAAAGTAAAAATGTGCAAGGCCTAAGAGAAAACAGTTGTGAATGACATTTAATTTTTTAATTTTGCCTACATAGGAAATATATCATGCTTACATTCCTTTAAAATTCACCAGAAATACCAGATACACATGTCAAGATGCATTTTAACTGTAAACACTTGTTTAAATTTAAATACATGCATGTACCGGAATATGGTTTTCATTTTAGTGTTAGTCATATTTTTCTAATTAGAAATCACATCGTCATATATGTACATAATTTAAACACAAGGATTCAAAAGTTTTTTAAAACTTGAGAATCCATATCATTTGTATTTTTAAAGTAATTTACAATATACATGTATTCATAACAAGTTTATACTGTGAATAATGTTATACATATTTTTGTGATAAGGTAAATATATATATATATATTTACATGTTTATGAATGAGTAATTGATAGATAGGACACTGTTTGGTCAAGTCCTCTCAAGTGTAGTGTGTTGTAAAAGAGGCTGTGCACTACATGCACAAAGCTTCATTTTTTGTTTACATGCAATGGTAAATTGTCTGTTCATTTTACTGTCTGTTAATTTAACAAGTTTCTAAAAGCAATATTTATCTTTTTCAAATTTCATAAGAACTAGAGAAACATGTTTTTTTAATGCCATTTTGTACTGGAAGACCTGTTGTCTGAAGAAATAAACTCTGATTGTGAAGCTTAAACTGGTGAATATTTTGTGTGCAGGTCCAAAACAGTAGAGCTGTACTGTACGATTCAGGGACTTTTGCTTTTATAGATGTGTGTCTAAATTTTGTATGTAAATGTATCTATTGTAAGACATTTAAATTTGATACTTGCTACCAGTAAGCACTTGTTGTACATGTTTATTTATTCATTTTGTTCACCATTTTGGGTGTTGTACAAGTGTCTTTTTTTTTTCTTGTGATGGGAATATTTAGTTTTTATCTAGTCTTTACCATGTATTTTCATGCTCTGATTTTAGACACATAATTTTTTTTGGGGGGGGGGGGGGGCTCCCAGACTATTTTTTTTTAATAATGAAGATATTAATTGACATATCAACAAAATATATAACACATATTGAATGCAGGCTTATTTCAAAAGTCAGCTGCTTCCAAACAGTTTCCTTTCAAAATTATTGTTCATTATTCCAACTATCTAATGATTGTCTTTTTCACAAAATTGACCTTACTAGGTGCAATAAATATTGGAGACATTCTAACTACCGGGGGGGGGGGGGGGGGGGGGGGGGGGGGGGAGTTGGAGATATTCCACATGAATTAACTTTTTGTGATTTTTTTAAGGAAGTTTTTTTGCTTTCTTTTTCTTTCATGATTTCTACATTTATGCAGAATCTACTGCTGAATTATTCTTTACTGCTTTCAAGCTTTGAATTTTCAAAGAAGAGTGCTCAAGGTTTGTTGAAAACCAGAGTATTTGTACAAGGGTCTTTCAAAACTCAGTACTATTATATGTATATTAAAAATCTGGGTGACAGATTCAATGCAAGAGATTTTCCGAGGAATCTAACACCCAGTTTCCATGATAGAGGCTCATGTGCAAGTGATAGTGTTTCACAAATGCATTGCAATGTGGGGTTTTCCCCCCTTTTTTTGGTGATAAATTGTATTTGTAATCAATGCTTTAATGAATATTTATTTTAACATTGCAGAAAGTCAGTAATACATACAAATCTTTAGGACATGTATTATTTAATTTTATTTACTAATTTCTTTGAGAATCATGTGCTGTTTAATGACACAAACATTGGTGATTGTGATATAGTTAGTTCTTTGAAACAGAGATTGATGGTGCTTTCAATGATATGAATGATTGTTTTATTTTCATGCTTTGTTATCTGTTGTACTTTTTATGAATTCATTGTGCAATTTAAGACCCTTCCCAACAAATAAATTGCTGAGTAAATCTCGCCAATAATCAATGTCATGTAATTTATCCATAATTTTAACACATTGTATTTGAAAATTAATTGAACTCATACATTGTATATTTAATAAACTGTTTCTAAATCATACATTGAGTGGATTTGTGTATAAGACACTTGCAGCTGATCATGGAATTGCAATATTACGGGCAGAGTCAGAAAATCTTCCAAGGGGAATCCTTTCCAGTTAGAAAACATTTCTCACTTGAAAAAGAAAATTTCTTACAAGAAATTATAAAAAAAAAAAAAAAAAAAAAAAAAAAAGGGAAATCGCCACATATGAAGAACTTGGAGAAGCCTTCTTTTTTTTTTTAGCTCACCAGAGGCTCCAGTGAGCTTTTCTGAATGACAAGTGTCTAGCATCTCTCTACTGTTTGTCATCTGTTAAATTTTTACATTTTTGACTTCTTTTCCAGAACCACTTGGCCAAGTTCAACCAAACTTCCTACAAAGCAACTTTTGGTGAAAGGAATTCAAGTTTATTCAAATGAAGGGTCATACCATTTTTCATGGGAGATAGTTATGGAATAGTGAAAATTTGGTAGGTTCGTTTAAAAATTCAAAAACCACTGGGCCAGAAGAGATAAAACGTGAAAGCTTCCTAACTTAATGTAAATTCAAGTTTGTTTCAAATCATGGCCCCTGGGGGTAGGGTGGGGCCACATTAGGGGATCAAAGGTTTACAAAGAATGTATAGAAAAAAATCTAGAAAAAATCTTGATGAACTGCAGGGCCATGATTAATGATATTGGTATGCCAGCATCCTCAGATAGCGAGATTCAAATTTGTTCAAATCATGGTCCCTGGGGTAGGGTGGGGTGTTATTATGGATCAGACATTAACATGGTAATTTAGAGGAAAATATCTTTTAAAAATCTTCCTCTCAAGAAAGGCAAGGCCATAATTTGTTGTATTAAGATACTGAATATTGTTAAATGCAAAAGTTGGGGGGTTAGATTACAAAAAAAAAAAATTGTCAAAAAAGCAAAGGACCAACATTTCAACAAAGTTCATACAGCTATAATATTTTACAGAGTATTTAAAAATGAAAATTGGCCAAAGTATTTAATGCCAATATTTCAGCTCCTTTTTAGCTCACATAAGCCAAAGGCTCAAGTGAGTTTTTCTGATCAAAGGGTGCCCAGCTTCTGTCTGTCATGTGTTGTCTGTAGACTTTTTTACATTGTTGACACCTTCTCAAGAACCACTTGGCCAATTTCAACTTAACTTGCCACAAAGCATCCTTGGGTGAAGGGAATTCAAGTTTGTTCAAATAAAGGACCACACTCTCTTTGGACATAATCAAAAAAATAGTAAAAATGTAATGACATCCTTTAAAATCTTCTTAAGAATTACTAGGCTAGAAAATCATGAACCACTGGGGGATAGGATGGGGCCACAATTGAAGATCAAAGTTTTACAATGGAATATATAGGGAAAATCTTTTCAAGAACACAAAAGTCACAACTAGTCATATTTATGTGAAATTATCTCCAGATAGCATAGATTAAAGTTTATTCCAATTGTGGCCCCTGGGGTAGGGTGGGTCCACATAGATCAAAGTTTTACATAGGGATATATACACTGTATTATATATATAGGATAAAAGTTTTAAAATTTTCTTCTGAAGAACAGCAAAGCCATGATTAGTCATATTTTTATGGAAGCATTCTCAAGTAGTGTAAATTCAAGTTTTTACAAATCATGACCTTAAGTTAAGACCAAGGGTGGGGCCACATTAGAAGAAAGATTTATTTTGTAATAAATAGGAAAACAGATTCTTAAGAACAAAAAAATCAAGTTTAGTCATAATTATTTGGAAGCATCCTCAGGTTATGTAGTTCAAAATTTGTTCAAATCATGACCCTCTGGGGTAGAGAGATGTGCGATTTTATCGGTATATCAGTAATATCATTGTGATTTTTTTATTGCGAGATATGTTTCGTGATACGGAGACTGTAATACAGGTATTTGATGCATAATCATAAAAAATCCAAAAATTATTCATTTATTTGTTCAAACTATTAAATAACAATTAAAATCAGTGTAAAAATGTTGAAAAAGTTAAACAATGGCATTCAAACATGCTTTATATTACATGTATATAAATAAAAATTAAGAGGATATATCAGTATGACTTACCATGATCGGAAGTTCATAAAAGAAAGAATTTTAAAGATTTATCCTGTATATTTTATGTATTAACAAGATGTGTTTGTGAAACACTGATGACCCCGTATGGCAATTTATAGCAAAGGTTAAACTTTCTCAAATGCAAATCAAATATGTTGAAACCCAAAGTAAGGTCTTGTACCGAGGAATATACCTGTGAAATATGAAAGCCCTAGCAGCAACCATTGAAAAGATATGGAAAAGGTTAAAGTTTTTCAAAAGTAGGTCAAACTCCAAAGTCAGGGTCAAAGGGTCAAAGTTGTTGGTATCCTAAGTAAGGTCTTGACACTAGGATTGCATATGTGAGGTATGAAAGCCCTAGCACCAAATGTTCAAAAGAAATGGCCAAGGTTAAAGTTTTCCAAAAGTAGGTCAAACTCCAAGGTCAAGGTCAATGAGCTATAATTGTTGGTATCCAAAGGAAAGGATTGTCACAAGGATTACACATGAGAGGAATAAAAGCCCTAGCATCAACTGTTCAAAAGTTCTGGCCATGGTTAAAGTTTTCCAAAGGTAGGTCAAACTCCGAGGTCAAGGTCAAATGGTCAGTTGTTGGTATCCAAAGGAAGGTCTTGTCACAAGAATTACACATGTGAAGTATGAAAGCCCTAGCATTCACCGTTCAAAAGTTATAGCCAATGTTAAACTTTTCCAAAAGTAGGTCAAACTCCAAGGTCAAGGTCAATGGGCTATAATTGTTGGTATCCAAAGGAAGGGATTGTCACAAGGATTACACATGAGAGGAATAAAAGCCCTAGCACCAACTGTTCAAAAGTTCTGGCCATGGTTAAAGTTTTCCAAAGGTAGGTCAAACTTCGAGGTCAAGGTCAAATGGTCAGTTGTTGGTATCCAAAGGAAGGTCTTGTCACAAGAATTACACATGTGAAGTATGAAAGCCCTAGCATTCACTGTTCAAAAGTTATAGCCAATGTTAAACTTTTTCAAAAGGAGGTCAAACGTCAAGGTCAAAAGGTCAAAGTTGCTAGTATCCAAAGCAATGTCTAGTCACTAGGATTACACATGTGAGGTATGAAAGCCCTAGCAGCAACCGTTCAAAAGTTATGGCCAAGGTTAAAGTTGGGAAAAATTTTGTGAAACTGTGTCAAACTCCAAGGTCAAGGTCAAAAATGATGGTACCCAAAGAAAGGTCTTGTCACAAG